GACCAGGCCGCCCTGGGGCTGCTGGCTAACGGCGTGGCCCCAGCACCCACGAGGAACGCAGGAGAAACTCGGGCAGATTTTGTGTACCCACCAAGATCCTGAAAAAGTGCAAAAGAGAGAAGGACAGAAAACTGCTTGCAAGGCTTTTCTTCGTGCTTTTGGTACTGCATCACTCCGCCCCCTTTATGTGGCATGCAAATCACAGTAAATGGTATTTTTATTCCTTTCTATGTTACATGGTTGCAAAAATTGCTGACAGAAACTGCCAACATGCTCCACTAATAACTATAATGCTGTTTCACTGGCATGGATGTGTTTTTACATTAACGCAGACCATCTACTTTAGGGGCTTTTAAAGATGCAGCTACGCTGACATTTACAGCAACGGAAACTTCTCTGATACAACCTCAGATTAGGAGACCAAATTCCCAGGGAGTATGTAAACAAAGCGGGGTATGTCAAAAGCCAACAAGCTGTGAAGAGTAGGACCGGAGACAACATACGCATCGAGAAGGTGTGGATATGCAGGTTTGGAACCACACATTTAGCATCAATTCTTCTTTCAAGTAACATTTTCCTGACAACAGAAAACAAATACGTCACATCTGCCACAAATGTGCTGTACGTAACAGCAGTTCCTACAGCATCAATATTATATTTACTCAGTGATTCATCCCCTTCCTCTGTGTGTTTATCTAACTACCCTAACCACATCCAGTCACCAATTACTAGCTAGAAATGGCCTTACAAAACCATGTTCAAGGGACTCTAAACAGTCGAACACAGACTGAGGCTTTGGTGTCACCACTCATCGCCAAACATCTGCACCGGAGAATAAATCAATCGGCACTTTCCTAGAATAAAACACCAGTAAGCAACCTCACTATTTGCAACTGAATCTCCATCTCCACTAACCATAAAAAAACCTTCAGCTGACTTCAGAATACTCTCGATTAGGCCTTTAAAATGGAGGAAGCAACAGATCTTCCTATAGTTGTTGCATATTGAAACTCTAAACTGGTTTTTCAGAAGTCATTCGGTGATTTCAGGTAACTGTACAGGTAAAACCAACAAGTGATTTGCCAGCTCTGCCATTTCAACCCATGAAATTCGAGTTTATTTTTCTTCTGATTTGGGTATCACCACCAGTTACCCAGATTCTCAGAACTGAATTCTGTTCTCTTCCGCTCGTGCCAGAGCAATTGAGGACAGACTCTGGTGCTGCAGTGGGGAATCGTACACACTGTTAGATTAGGCCTTAATTAGAATACAATTCTGCTCCTTTAGTTCTGTGCATTTTACAGGAATAAGACAAATCAGAAACTTACATTCTTCAGGACATGGTTTAGCAGGCGTGGTGGTGTTGGGTGGAAGGTTGGACTTGATGATCTTAGAGGTCTTTTCCAATCTTAATGATTCAGTGATTCTATGATTTTTTAGTAATGTAAGCAAGCGTACACACTCCTTGTCTTCTCCAAAAGAGCCATGTTTCCACAATTGTAATTACGATGTATTTATTCACAGTTCTGCAAGCTCTTTGTGGCAAGACACAAACACCAAACCCAACCACCACAGGCTAGACTGTCACTCTCACATCTCTCCCCCATCCCCTTTAATCTCTCCCAGGAGTCTGGCCTCCCAACATTTTTAGAAGAGGGGCAGAGTCTGAGGCAGAAGAGCTTCCATGTGTGAATAGAGTTGCACAAGACTTCACTCGTTGGGGAATTTCTTTTTTAAAGAATTCCCAGCACACGTGTAGGCCTACATAATAGTCTTCTCGCTTGAAAGATAAATGATGAAATCCTAAAAACTGTCAGCTGCTGAAATTCGGAGCCCAAACCATGCACCTTCCCCCTTCAGCCTCCCACCTTTCCACAGGACATTCCACAAGCAGATGACACTGCTCTAAATGAGAAGCAGAGGGGCGGCTACCTTCAAAAGCTGATTTCACTCCAGGAGAACAATCTCCTAATGCTCCCTCCGCAGTCAGTGGAGAAACAGGCACTTCCACACCACCGTCAGCCACTACCTTTCTTTCTACTCCCCCCTCTCCTGGGACGACAGAGGAGGCAAGAACCCCGCTGTGCAGCACCCCAGGAGCTCACCCTCTGGAGCACCTAGACCCTCTGCTTACCTGTCTCTCCTTTCTGTACGGCTGCAGGGGCTGGTGTCTCACGGCACTGGAGCTCATGCACCCGTCCTTGAAAAAGCTGCAGTGATCGGAGTAGCCCAGCAAGCAGTCCTGGACTGCGGAGCAGCTTCTTCCTCTCGCAGCTGTGATATGCTTCTGCCTTTACATTTTCACGTGCATTTTCTGGGGACTGACTGAGAGTCTGGAAAGGCTGGAGTTAAAAACCACTTTTATCCTGTGTTTAATTCTGTGATAAATACATGTGGATAAGGGTTTGATGCTAATATGTATCTTTCATAGGTGTTACAATGCAGCTACCATCTCATACAGGTGTCATGAACAAATGTGAAGAGCACTTCTATGACTCAGCAAGTCATCCTCAGCTTTTCACACAGTTTGTGAAGGCACACCTGGCTCTTCACATCTCCCTTTATGTGTGGGGGTTCATAAAACCTCAGATCATCCAAAATAAGAAGCTAAACAGTATGGGAGCAGCCCTTCATCTGATACACCCTCGGTGGAACTCACAGCTGCCTACATGAGCTGAGGATCTGGCTCCCACCTTCTCCCGCATTTAGTCTCACATCTCCAGACTAGTTCATTTAACTCCTCGCGCTCTCTTCTATCTTCCAGCAACTAAAATCAGCTTCTTAACATTTCCTATCAATTCCAGACACTACGCTCAGCACACCTGCCAAGGCTCAGCTGTCCCTTTTGTAAGGATGCAAATACATCGAGTGGGCAAAGAAAATCACTTTGTCACATTTGTTTTGAATCAATTGAACCTATTTTAGAATGATGTAAGCCCTCAAAAATGCTGCAGGACTGTCTGAGTCTGTTAGCACTTTCAAGTAAACAAACAAAACCTGCTCTAATTTAGACAAATTTCCAGGCCACAATTGTCAGAACATCACTAAAAGCTCTTGGGTATTAAAAAACAAAATCTAAATAAGTACCAGAAGCTACATGAGGAGGAGGGCTCTGTGGGAATCTTCCTGCCTTTGGTCTGACAATCCAAAAAGTGTGTTCTGGTTTCCCCCAGCATCCGGTGCACTCCAGCAAGTTGCTAAATAAAGTTGAGCAAAAACTTCACTCAAAGCTTTAGTGTTCCTTAAATAGCACGTCTCATCTTTGCTGCCAGCGCTGCAGCTCATGTTAAAGTAAGCAACCACATTAACATTTCTCCTAAATGTTACTCTATATATTTTAAATGCTCAGCTCAAGAGTCGCTAAAATAAGCATTTAAAATAACAACTTCAAACCCTTGCACAAGGCTGCATCCATTCAGACGAGCTGTTTTTTCTTACCTCACTCCATTTTCCCTCAGTGTTCATTAAACAAAGGATGCTCCATGCCCTGACAAGAGAGAAAGGCTAGATTTCAGCTTGAGGACTAACATAAGTCAATTAGAATCTAGTGGCTCCTAATTATAGGTTTTGTTATTTATCCCAGACTGCCTCCGGTATAAAAAACTGGTGACTGATGCGCTCTCTTCACAATAAACATTCACTTAGATACATGTGGAGGCTGCAATGCAATGAAGATGGAAGTGTTTCTTTTTCCTTTACTCTGAGCAAGCAACGTTCAGCTTTCACGAGAATGTTTAATCCCCTTTTAAGCCTGAGTAAAAGCAACCTCTATTACATATAGCATATTCTGATTGTGAACACAGATTCTCTCTACTGGAAAACCTGTAAAATAATATAAGCCAAGCCATTAACTGCAAAAAATATTTAGGAAAAATTCTGCAAATTAAGACCACATAAAATGAAATTGCTATGCAACACAAGCATTTTAGAGGTAATGTATCTTATGAAAGTCTAACACATAATTATGGAAAATGAAATAAGAAGCATGAAAATGATAATTGAACAGTAGTCCCTCTGACACATGCACAGAACAGAGTACTAAAAAATGTCATGAATCCAGGGAAATGATATATGGGTCAACCTGAAAAAAAACCCCAGAAGGAACAGGAAGCCCAAATCTCGCTTTAAACACATGTTCAAGAATTTCCATCAGCAATTCCTTCTTCAGCAAGCTGAGCGCCCAGCATTTTCACTACCATCAACACCTCTTTGAAGTTCAGACCTCCTCAAACGTATTCTCCTGCTTTACGTGAATGCCTCCACAGAAAGCACAAAATTTCACATAAAATCCCACGGGAAATGCAAAAGATCTATATTAAGCTGCAAAGTGTCCTCTGTCTCTCAGCTTCAGCTCTTGACAAGTTTCTCAGCCTGTTGGGAGAAGAGAGTTCTGGTTACACCATGGAAGGAGGGAAGACGTGAACCGAAATAATCAACAACCGCCACCGCGAACCCCCCAAGCCAGCATGAACAGTGTAGCTGGCTGCTAACCCCACACACGGGCTACGCCGGGAACCTCTGCGCGGCTGCATCGGCGCCTGCAACGCGGGGCACAGAATCACAGAATCCCAGAATGGTGGGGGTTGGAAGGGACCTCTCGGGGTCACCCAGCCCAACCCCCTGCCCAAGCAGGGTCACCCAGAGCAGGCTGCACAGGACCTTGTCCAGGCGGGGCTTGAATATCTCCAGAGAAGGAGACTCCACAGCCTCCCTGGGCAGCCTGGGCCAGGGCTCCGTCACCCTCAGAGGGAAGAAGTTCTTCCTCATGTTCAGACGGAACTTCCTGTGCCTCAGTTTGTGCCCGTTGCCCCTTGTCCTGTCACTGGGCACCACTGAAAAGAGCTTGGCCCCACGTCAGATTCAGCACGACCTCCTTTTGCCTCTGGAGTATCTGTGTTGCCCTTGGGTGCTGGTTGCCCCAAGAGCATGACCCTGCCTGCCCCTCCCCGGGCTCTTGCTGGCTTCAGTGCAGACCTTCGCTCCCTGCCACGGGGCTTGGGATGGCGGGCGAGGCTTGGGAGCATCCCAGCGAAGCTCGGGACCATCCCAACACCACAGCTGAAACCACCCAGGGCAGCGGCACCGGTTCCCACAGCTCCACCTGCACCAAGGTTCTGGATACACCGCAGCACAGCATCAACGACAGTCCTATCCGCTCAGAGTATAGAAAGAAAAAATAAGTGGGTTATTTTAAATCAGTATAGCTCAGCAAATCTTATTGTCAAGGTTTTTTAACAACATATACAACTTATTTATCTACAAATTCTTCCTCCTGCCTATGCTGGACACTTACATTCACCAACCTATTAGTCGTTGCTTAATTATCACTACAAAGCCTTATTACTATGTATGGCTAAAGAGCTCTCCAGCAGGAA